TAAAAATTGAATCAGCACAAGCACTTTTAGGTGGTTCCCAGACTTTTTTTCTCATAGACCACTTTGAAAACTTTGCTGGCTCCAATGGACCTCTTGTAACTATATTTCCAGGATATTATATATAAATTTTGACCCCCGTCGAGTTTCCCGAGGACCCTTACTTTGGGAACCACTCTCTTTTATAATGGAGACGCAAAAGCAGAAAGTGAGGAAGAATGTTCGTCCACTGGGTTGGGAGAAAAGTATACGAATATGTGAAAAACGGATAGAATTTCTACGATCCAAAAAGTGGCTGCACGAAGATTGTAAATAATATGGCTATTGGTGTCATTCAGAATTCACGATCTTACTCCCTTACTTATTACCATCTTACCGAGCGCAAGTGGAAGAAATGGTGGCGGGTGAAAACATTTTTGTTTTTTTTTTTAAACGTTATTGACTATTTCATTCAGAATGTAAAAAGAATTTTATTTTTGTGTAATGAAAGGAATAAAAAAGAACTATAGGCGTTTTAAATCTTGTTCACCATCTTTCTCTGCTTTAGACTATATGATTACGGATCATGGTATAGGTAGACAAGTTATTGTTAAAAACACTAGGCTAAATAAGAACTAACATCTTACGTTTATAACAAATCACATTGTGTTAAAATAAATAATTCGAAAGAATATTACAATAACCTCTGGAGTTCCAGAAGGACCCTACCTGTGCTCTCTTTTGTTCTCAATATTTTCTCAGCGACGTGGATCGGTGTTTCCGTTATTCTAAATTGCTGCTCTACACTGATGATCCAAAGATTTTCAAAAACATCTTATGTATTGATGATATTAACGACTGTATTTATACCGCCAGGTCAACACTGCGAAACATTTTCACACTTTAATAATGGAAGAAATTGCATCTACAGTTTCGGGGGTATGAACCTCAAAACAGTCAACGAGATAAAGTACCTTGTTATGAACACTAAATCCTCTTTTGAAAGTCATACAATGTCAACAGTTCAAAAGCATATCTAAACTTTATTTTGCTAATCATCAACGTATTTTAAAATCTTCATTCAATGTTGATTCCGTATAATTCGTTGCTCAGAAGCCTTTAAGTTTTGGTTAGTTTTTCTCTTTTATTGGCGTTGACCTTTAATACATAAAGCATAGAGCTCGTAAGTTGAAAAGCTACAAGCAAAGTTAATTTTTTATCCGAATTACAAATTTAAGAGAGGCTTGATTGACTTGCTCCTAATGTAATCTCAAATCCTATTATCAATTGTCCAACTCTACTCGAGAAGTTTTCGCTTCACTTAATCCAACTAGACCTAACACTTTTTTATAGGAACACTTTTAATACTAGCTCTGCAAAAAATTCACTCATTTCTAAGATGAAGCAATTTTATAAGACATTTTAATGTTTAATATAGATTAATTGAATATTGCCTTGGGGCGCTAAAACGTTTAGCATATCAAGTTATAAAGTGTACACTGTCTACACTTGATAAGCGGTAGTGACATAGCTGTGCGAAATGTTGCGTAATTTGAACATAAAATATAGACAATGAAAGTTCGACAATCTCTTAGTATTTCTACTGAATCATTGTTTACCACCTTCAAGCCAACGATACCAATATTGTTATCAAATCAAATTGATGATATCCGAAGTGATTCGTGAAAAACACCTAGAAAATTATAAGAATTTGAAAGAATCGGCCAAATTGATTTAGGAGCTCTTCAAAAATCACAACCTGTATATATCGATTTATCTAAAATCGTATTTCAATTGAAGAAAACTTAGAATCGCGAATACTATCTTATGTAGAGACGTACGTAGATATGTTTAATAATAAGCGTTTACTCGGAAACTATTAAACCAATTCTTATCTTTTCTAAAACCCGTCTTCATTGTACGATAAATGTTGTTTAACATTCCGTAAATGCCTTTTCGCAATAATAAGAGCCACTAAATGATTATACGAAGAATACCGCGAATTTTTCACATGTTTGTTTCGTATGCTGCTTTTCCTGTTTTGATAATGTAGAGCAATTTTGCTGCGATTTTATGTTTTGGTTAGAAACGTATTACCCAATATTATTTAATATTCAATTATAATTTAATGTTATTAATATTAACAAAACTATAACATAATAAGCATCAATATTTCAATAAAGTGGTGATAATTAACTGAAGGAAATTGATAGAATACAGTCATGGAGGGCAGAAAATTATTACTTCATGTCATGAGAGATGGAAGAGAACCTATTATTACTGAAACTGTTTTAGTCTACCCTTGCATATACAGCAAGCAGGTGTCGTTCGAATCAGATAAATTCAGGGAGCTAAATTAATTGGTAATATAAAAAGTTTCTTTTCTGTGCTGCGTGACAGTAAGAAGCCACTTGGCGTAGTAAATTTAAATCGTGAATTTTCATTTTTTAAGTTTGTTAAATTGATAAGGAAAGCGCTCTTACTCATATTAGTCATATTAGGCCACCTCAATTCTTAAATAACTTGGAAATAGAAATTGTGAAACGTCAAAACCGACTGAACTAATACAAAAGTACAAATTTTGACACTTAAGTGATCGATGTAGATATCACATTCTATTTAACCGTAATGCTAACCAGAACATACGAAATTAAACCAAACACTTTTTTTTATTTGAAGGGAATAATTTAATAATATTCGACGCATGTGAAAACTGAGGTTGGAATGATGGTAGCAGTCTGTTCCACATCTATCCAACAACGTCTCGCGCTTTAAATAATTATCTGTTTAATAATTTACAACAAATCACCTTTCTCTGAGTAAAACTAAAGGCAACTTTGACAGTTTGACGTTGTAATGAGTAAAAGTTTTAAAATGGGGATTGGTTGTAAAGATATAGTTTCATAAGCTTGAAATGCGCCAATAATAGGTTTAGAGTGTGATTTATAGCTTAGCCAAGGTAGGGTGCTAATGTGAGAGAGATATGGTGCAGCGGGTGAGGAGGCCATGTTCAATACATTTTAAATCACATATTTTATAGATTACGGTTATTTCGCTCGTAATTTTCCATAGGTTTTTGGGCAATTCTGAGAAAATTACATTGTAAATATTATTTAACGGCAAATTGTCTCTCTTAGATTTTTAGAGTAGACCCAAGGTAAGGCAGCGACTCTTGATTAAAACGCGAAAAAAAGATAAGAAATAAAAACCAAGAATCTGTTATCAGACTATGAAATATATGAGGAAATGTTCTTACAATGACATGGGTCAATGGATAATGGATCAAATTCTAGAGGTCATGGAAATAAGTCACAATATCTAACCTGTGTGGGAAAAAACGGCTCAGCCAAGGGTTGGTCGGTCAGGGTTGATATTTTATAAAATCGTTATACTTATTTGTATTTAGCGCCAGAAATGCTGCACACTTTGGTGATCGAGAACTAATTTTGTTTTAACGAGGTGCAGCAAACAAATTATTTACTAAAAACATAAAAATATTTAATATATGTACTCTATATGTAATAAATAATAATTATTGAATTGATATTTTTCACTGTAAAATCTAAATGAAGTCTTAAACGTGATGGGAAATATATCCTATGTTGAACTCGACACTTAATGTTGAAGAAAACGCTGGTCCGATATTAAAAAAAATGGTCAGCTGGAAACAATCCTAAGAAATCCAAGGTATTAATTTCGTTTTAGGACATTTTAATATGAGGTATATATTTCAGGTGCTTGTCGCCTCACCTCACCAAACTGAAGCCGGTGATATGGAAAGTAAACTTTCAATTTTAATTGTCAAAGTATCCGATACAAAAATGACTATTGAACGAATTTTACAGGTTCCAAACTTTTCTATTAATAATATTTACCGAAAATATGCCACTTTTCATCCAAGTTAAATTAGATGTTTTAATTGTCGGAATAAATTTAATTGAAAAACTGCTTAATTTAACAGCAAAACCTCTAAATGGTCATTTATTTCCGAGAACTTCATATAGACTTCTTGCTAATGCGGGGTAACTTATATGGTTTGAAGCTGAATTAAGTTGAATTAAGGAATAGCATTGTCATTACTTTAACGTTATACAAATATCTTGACGGGCTGAGACAATGTGTGCGAGTACTGCAGAAGGAATAATAAATCACAGCATAATATTTTTGTCTATCAACAACATAGTTATAAGCAATAAAAGCTTAGGTCAATGTACTACGTTTGCTTTTTTTTTTTAAGTGAATTTTTTAAATTAAAACGGTGTATGTGTGTATGTATTTTGCTTTTACAGAAACGATATTTGTGCTATTATAGATTTCTAAAAACCCCTCAAAAGTTAAGCCTGTTTAATTTAACTTTTTATGATATCACTATGAAATTTTTAATTTTTTTATATTATGTCTTGCACGAAAATGATTTATTGCCCCTCTCAGGAATTATTTTTTCCCACCTTATTTGGTTACCATTCATATTTATTCAACACTCTTCGCCCCACCCGTGCCTTGCCTAAATGGCTATATTTGCATCACAACAATAGCAATTTCATGATCGGTTTAGTTCTACGTCTGTGTTGAAGCGACACGGAGTATGGAGATCTTCGACAATGGCCGAAGAAAAACGGGAAGACCCCAATAATAAAATTCAAACATAAAAAAAAAGTTAACCTGAAGTTCTATCACCTCTAATGCAATTGCATTCATGTCTAAGGTGGATAGCTTTCCGACCCTCAAAACTTTGATATTACGAGCTGAATCTGAATTATCAGCTTAAGGAATAAACATTGGTAGTGGTAGTGCGAATTTACCATACTTTGAAAAGCTTAAAAAAGATGTTAATTATTGTCAACAATTTGGAAATAAATGATTTCTTGGATTTTTGCTGGATTGTTGCCAACAAAAGTTGGACAAAACAAGTTTAGATACTTTTGACGTTGGCAGGAAAAAGTACTAAGTTGATTGCCGCTTTGGGTGTCGATTTACTGCATAGGACATACCATCATTAGCCTATAGAAATATTACAAATTTACCTTTAGAATGCGTCGAGGTTTTATCTAACGCCCTGTTGAAGTGTTCGTCGACCACGGCCGCAGTGTCTCCTTGGTAATGCGTGAAGACGACGCAATTGGCAGACACGTATTGCGCCCTAGAACCGCCACCCCCGTCTTGGGAATCGTCATCGTCAGCTTGCTGATGACCTGAAAGTTCGAAACGTCGTGATTTTTTTCGGCTGTGCTTGGCAGTTGCGAGCGGCGAGCGCTCCGATACACCCAGTATATAATTAAACGTTCAGCATTAGCGAAATTTTAATCATTAATTAGTTAAGTCGGGGCCCCAAAGAAACTTGTCGTGGAATCCCGCAATCGGTTTTATTTTCCCGAAGGCGAACAATGGCGACGCTTTTTCAGCACATTTTTGCGCCGACCCGACGTTTCTGACCGAGTTCTTGGTACGAGTGTGATATGGGTTCATAAAATTTGTTTTAAGTCAATCATATTTGCAAAATCATCGATAATAAGTTACGCGAACGAAAAGATAATTGTTTTCATGTCGCCGTCGCGTTTTGGTATTAGTTTCGGAACCTCGTCGATTGAATTTTCTATGATTTTTGAGATTTTGAACAGTATAAATGAGAAACAATTATAACTATAACAGATTATAAGTACCTACTGTATGAAACGACAAAGAAGGTCTTTTTGCCTCGAAATGGTAATTTTAGGGAGTTTTAAATGCGCAAGATTCAAAATTTTCCAAGCGGTTGCAACACCCCCCTATGACGTAAAATAACAAATTCGTTGGAGGGTTGGAAAACATATTTAATTCTATTTACAGAGTGTCCTTGATTCTGTTATTTTCTGTTTTCTTAGTAGAAATGATGATGCATACTATAACTAAAAAGGATGATTTCTATTTTTTTGCTGAATTTGGTTGGGACTGAAAATGTTTCTAATTCACAATTTTATCAAAAACAGGGAAATCGTTGCCTTAAAGCATTTGTAGCGTTAATAGAATTGTCTATACACATTGGTGTTATTTGCATATAAAAAATAAAATTAAATAAATATTTTCCATTTTTTTAATAAAACCTAATAATATATATTTAGTGTAGATGGTCTACTTTTCTAAAGAGGCCACAGTCGAAAAGCTATTTTGAGCTTGTTCTTTCACAATAAAAACTTTAAAAATAACAAAAGTACTATACACTTAACAAATACTTACTAAATACTTATTACTATTATTATTTAAATAAAAAAATAAAAATAAAACAACATTTTAAAAATTTAAAAGTACATACCCAAAATTATATAGATAAGTCTTTTTTAAGGTTTCCTTAATAAGACAAAATAGAGCTCGTATATCTGTTCATAGGCAACAGGCAATACTTAAAAGTAATTTTGAAGTTGTTTTTCCATAATAAAAACTATAAATATAACACAACAACAGAAAAAAAAAAACAAAAGTTGTTATAGATACATTAATTAAGTTATAATACTCTCTAAGTTATGTAAAACCATATACCTAGAGGTTTTCTTTTCTTTATTTCGTGATTTCTTTATATATTTAAAGGGCCGCTTAATAAATACTTGATAAGGCTCTTTCATCGTCGAACTTTTGCATTGTTGCACCTCACAATGTTCAACTTGTCGTTCTATAACAAAAGCTCAAAACGAACACAAACAATGCGAAGTGACATACATAGTAATACATTTTTTATATCGTCACTATGGTTCCAAAAATTTGATGGGGGTCGATTAGAGGATGTTGATAAAGATGAGAGACGAATTTTAATAAATAATTACGAATACATTTTTAAACGTTTTCTATTCGCCAACTATCAAAAGAACACCGCACCCCTACCTTTTCATTCCCCGAAAGAATTGACTACAGAGACTAATATATTTAAACGAATGTGCTGATGATATGTCGTTAATATATAATACTACATTATTACAAATAATACATTTTTGCGCACCGCAGTAATATGAAATTGTGTACAACCGTTAAATTCGATGCTACCAGATTAAATCACAAATGAAAAAACAAACCAATTTTATTTCACTTTTCGTCGTAACTGGTAAAACGCAATTTATTTTACAGAATTTCTTCTACAATCACAAGAGGTAATAAAATCGATCGATGATAGACCACGCAGATAACAAATACCGACCATAAAAACATTTTCAGATCCTCGTCAAATTTACTGCTCCAATAATATGTGGATCGTTTTCGATTTAAATGAGGCTGGGCCAACGACACGATCGTGGACATTAATTTTTATGTCTTCGGAATGTCAAAATAAAACTCTGAAACCTACAGAAGCGGGGATCGCTTAAAATTGCTCCTAAATTCGGCACTAAAACTTTTATGGCGTGACACGTATTAAAAAAAAAGCAAACAACGCGGCCGAGAGACCGCGTGTAGAATACTTATTTGAAAATTATTAAAGAAAAACTTATCGACCATTTTATCTATTCAAGTTCTACAGTGCCCGAAAATAAAGTTTAGGTAGCCCTATAAATCAAATAACAAAAAAAAATTACAGTTATCACACCCAGATGGATGCAATGGACAGCTGGACGCAGTATACAACTACAGCATTTTATTCGGATACTATTAGATATAACTTCCATCCTACATGACATACCACAACAGTGAAATGAACCAGCTTCGCAGGACCAATGATCTTGTAACAAAATCTAATCAAGCAAAGCATATTTCAAACAGAGCATCTAATGTGGAAGAAAAGGGTCAACATGTTTTGGACAATATGAGTGATTATAGACCAAGGAAAAGACCAATACTCAATCGTTTGTGGCTGCCGGGGTTGACCCTTTCGAAAATAAAACTGCACGATGCTAACTTGTTGCTTTAAAATAACTCTAACGAAGGAGATTATATATTATGAATTATGTATCTCGCGCAGACTTTAGTTGCTTTTCCAGCTTAACCACATAAAATTATGAAGAGGATTGATTATTCTTGTGACGTACTTCTTTTCAATATATTCAACCCACATGCTCAGTCAATGTTAAGTATATATAAAATTAAAAACCAATTGAAGCAATCAAATATGGAGCAAGATGGTTTCTAGCAAGTGGAATCAGAAAGAGCATTGTTGGCAAAATTCACTTGTATACTTATGTTTGTTCTTTTAAAGCATTCTCACAGGTATTAGCATCAAATGATTCATTCATCGAAATAATTTTCATTTCTTTGTTCAGAAAAGTTTGGAATATTCTCTCGCCTTCTGATCGGAAACTGAATACGGAGCTTATACTGCTCGACTACAGTAGAGCATTTTATGTTATAGTTCATTCAATTTTATATTTAAAGCTCAAATACTTTGGGTCTATGAGAACAGCATAGAGGAAGATCGAGAGAGAGAGAGAGAGAGAGAGAAATTGCCCAAGTATCTTGGGTCGTCAATTTTTTTCTATACGAACATGTCTCGACTTTACTGTGAAAGTTGTATGCTAAACTTAAAATATACGCTCTGCGCCAAGAAGCTAAACTCAGGTTCTGTAATAGTTTGGTTCTATCGCAGCTTGCATGTTGAAGTGTAGTTTTCTGGCCGGTCCTGAGTAAGACTGAGGCAAGTAGCCAGTAGTAGCAAATGTGCAGAACAACAATACGATCATATTTCCGATTATGTCAATATGTCAGCTTGGTTGTATCTCCATCAGATTTTAAGTTCAAATTGGGTGCTTAGTATATAAACTTATCACAACGGGCATTCCTCAATATTTATCAGATAAACTAATTAGGTCTGTCTTCATCAACGAGTGCTCTACTGGCCAATGTAATCTCCTTTGAGTACCTAGACATTGGAGCTCCCTAATAGTATTAAAGAAGCTCCAAATATATTTAGCTGTAAAAAAAACTTGAGTTGAGTTGAGTTGAGTTGAATATTTCCACAGTGTAAAAGAGTTGTTTATTTTTCTCTGTTGTAGATTGTTTTTGATTCTAGTTTTAAGGAAACTTTTATTGAGATATCTTTTCTTTACTTACTCATTATGTTTTTTTTTATGAGGTGGTTATATGGAAGAGCGTATGTAATTAATTGTAAACTTCCATTATTATATTTGGTATATATGTACGCAAAAAATAAAGGCACTGTATTATTACTAAGGCAATTAAATGATCCTGAAAGTTCAGGATGGTTTAATGTCTTGGGTTAACTTAGTCCTACTGCAGTATAGGTGTGTAGGTATCAACCGCCGTACCTTCAGTACTACTCCTACCGTGTAAACTGCAGTCTTCTTCTTTTCCAGGCCTGAGAGGGCTGGTAGGAGAACCACCTCCCGTAGAGCTCACGGAACCCCCACTACTATGCGCGGATCCCTGCAAGTAGAGGGGATGGTGGGGGTGAACGGACGACGCGCCAATAGCATGGGTGTCGCCCAGGACGCTACCGGCGCCCACCGACGCCGCCGACGCCGACGACGCGGCGCCCGACACCGAGCTCTGGGCCGAAAGGGTGTGGGCGTCTTGGAGCCGTTGAACGTTAAACTGCAACGAAAAATAAATCACGAAATGGGGATAAATCAGGGGCAGCAGAAAATTGCTTTTAAATTACGCAATTTACAAAAATCAGCAATTAACAGAAATTGAACCCTTTATACTTCGTTCTGAAGAAGACGTTGCCCTAAAGGCATTATATATATATATATATATATATATATATATATATATATATATATATATATATATATATATATATATATATATATATATATATATATAGGGTGTGGCCAAAAGAAGGCGCAGGTTGTTAGTAACAGATACTTTATGTGAAAATAATAGCGCTTTTGTAACATCATATTTATCTCTCAAAAAGGTATCATTCTACTTCTAATAACTAATACTAATACTAATAATAATAATTTTGACTTTAAAAGATGGTTAATTTTTTCTTAAGTAACGATATGAACTTTGCTAAACTAGCAAAATTTTCTATAATATTATTTAAGTTGTTCTGCATATAAGAGAGATAAAACTTTATAGTATTTTAATTCTACTGAATTTATAAGCAAAATGGATAAGTAAATTAATTTTGCGCCCTCATTATACACAATACAATGTAGATTAGCGCTTTTACTACGCCATTTTGCATATCCACGCCCTGTTTCTATAATAAGGACAGTTTTTATTATAGACAATTTAATGAACAGGTGTTTGTAGGATCGTTCTGTGTAAAGCTTCATTTGGAGAGTAACAAACTGTTTTGTTTATTCAATTTTTTTTTGTGATTAAGACAAACTTTTAGAATATAAAAATGAACAGTGTTTTAAAATAAATTTTTCTTCAGGCATATATAATATATATCGTTTTTGTATTCAACACTCTCTCGGCGAATTACGTTCCCAAAGCTGTATAATATTACTCTATATTGTAGTCAAATTTTGTTATTACAAGAAAAAACCGAGTGCAGTAACAAAAATATTTTTTCAGTTCAGTAACAAAAATTATCTATTCCGGCAATATAATTAGTTAAAACATATAAAAGTAAATTTCCGAGTATCCAAAAGCTAAGTAGCTGCAGCTTGAAATCTATGACATTCCGAATAAAATAACTTTGGTACAACAGTTAAGAAATCGTAGAAAAGTGAAGCTATGATTGTAAAAATGCTCAGTGCTGGTTTCGAAAGTGGTGCACATTTTTTATGTCTATTGGTACAGCGTTGTTTCCCTGACATCAATATGAATCTGGGTGAAACAAGAGAGGCATATATGTGTGATTGAAGATTGCTCCAAATTCTCGAGTTGGGAATTCATATTCTGTAGCATATTTGGTTTTAGTAAGATTATTTTCTTTGTTTCATGTTCGTCATTGTCTAAGCTGAAAAACCCACTATGATTAGATTTTAGGTATAGAGTTTTTCGTTTCCCCTACAACTTTAAATGGTTATATAAGTTAAATATTGTTAGCATAGTGCTACCTAAGTTTCGTCGGTGCATGAGGCAGCCTATGGTCCAATTTAAAGTTGATATCTTGGACCACTCCCTACATACGAGGTTAGCGCCAAAATTTCCCGGCCTGTCTTCTTTTAATTATATATCTTAGTAGACTGCAAAAAAAAAATTGAAGTCTTGTGTCAAATAATTTTTTATGGACAGCATTTTAAACAAGACGTGTCCGAAAAAATTTCGCAATTAGGGTATAGAGCAGTTATAAAGTTTTTGACAAAAGAAGGTTTAGCACCTAAAATTATTAAAGAAAGGCTGGATGGTGTGTACGGTCATAGTTCTACTTCGTATTCTGTAGTAAAAGAATGTGCACAACGTTTTCGAACGGGGAAGGAGTCCCTTGAAGATGATTCAATGGAGGTCATAACGGAAGATATTGTTGCGATTGGGGAGGAGGTGGTATTGAGTGATCGACGTTTAAAGGTCAAGGAAATCTCAGAAATTACTAAGCTTTCTGATACAAGTGTTCATCGAATCCTGCACGATCATTTAGGTATGCATAAGGTTAGAGCAAGATGGGTTCCTAAAAACCTTTCGACTATTCAAAAACAACGGCGTATCGAGTGTACGCGGTCTTTTTTGGAACTCTGTGGGTCGGAACCGAAGCCTGTGATAGAAACTATTGTGACGGGAGATGAAACTATGGTTCTCTATTTTGGCCCTCTATCAAATCTAGAGAATCAATGGAGTGGCGTCTTAAGCGTGAAGCACCTCCAATAAAATTCAGAGTCTGACAGTCAACAAAAAAGGTGAGGGCCACGATCTTTTGGGATTGTGAAGGAATTCTTTTGATAGATTTTAAACAAACTAATATCACTGTCAATGGTAAATATCACGCAACATTATTACATAAATTGCGAGATTGCATACGTGTAAAACGTCGAGGAAAACTGACCAGAGGCGTGCGTCTTTTGCACGATAATGCACCTGTCCATACTGCTGGTGTTGCACAAGCTGCCATTTTAGAGTGTGGGTTCCAACAGATAGATCATCCTCCCTATTGTTCAGATATGGCCCCCAGCGACTATTATTTGTTTGGATATTTGAAAAAGGACTTACGTGGACGGTGGTTTAACGACGAAGTTGAGTTAAAAGAGGTTGTTTTAGCTCATTTTGCAGACAAACCAAAAAAATATTTTTTTTAATTGATTGAGTTGTTAATAAAGAGATGTAATAAGTGTATTGAAGTTAAGGGAGATTATATCGAAAAATAATAAACAATTGTTACTCTACTTTGTTTCTTTCATATTCAGGCCGGAAAATTTTGGCGCTGCCCTCGTAGGAGTGATTTACTAAAGTCAGTTATCATTTTTTTATATCGGGTTTATTGATATCCATCATTAATCCTTTCCTGTGAAATTTGAAAGCTGTGATAATTTACCTAATAAATACTGCTTTGCTTGTGAAGTTATCTTGGCAGGTTGCATAACGTCATGCCATGTATATTGTACCTTAAAAATGACAAAGCATTGGATTTAAATTTAAAACTGTCAACTGAAGCGTTTTTTTTGTTCGAATGCCTCGAAAGCAAAAGCTACCTCATATTAAAGCTATTTAATATTTTCCTCAAAAGAATCGCTTACGTCAAACATGTGCGGTGGGCTAGTTCTCCTTTGAACTGTGCGAAATCGAAGATTGTAAAAAAGCCCAAAATTTGTACTATGCTGCACAGCGGCGTCGACCAATGGGGAAAATTCGGCCGAACACGCATTCCAGCAATAAAGCGCCTTGTTAACATGTTAACAAGTCCCCTCCTAGGCCTTTTGTTGTAAGCCACGCTGCGCCGACCGGGACACGATTCATCAAAATTGTTGACGTCTTAATAGGTACTATTTGACATTATATCTTGACTTATTTTTTCGGTTGAATAGTCCGAACCTTTTTAAATGAATTAAACGGGTATTACATGACCAAATGCAGTGTCAAGATAAAATAAATTAATATTAATCTTTGCCCGCTTCCACCTTTATCATTTCTCGCGTTCTTCGACTTTCCGACAAAGACGCGTATTTATGCGCGCTCTCAAGGCTAACAGTTAAAAGATCTTTTTTAATTTGTAAAAATTCGCGAACGTTGCAGTTCCGCGCGAACATTTTTCAACCGGACTGGTTTTGTTCGTTCCGACACCTTTTTTTCTCTTCAATTATATGCGGTTGCGGGTCATTTTTCAAAAGCAAACATTTACTTCGGCGGTATACACAAACAGCTACCCGTATATTAATTTCAACGCGGACGCATAAAGGTGAGGAATCGCAATAAATTTGTTCCGGCACTATCGGTCACCTAAAACTGTATACAGGGTGTTCTACAGATTTTCAGATTCTTAGGAACTTGAAAAATTAGGATTCTCTGACTTTTCCAGATTTCTCTTGTCTTGCAGTTGGCATTTTATAGACATTTTATAGACACTTTATAGAGCGTAATGCTTTCAATTTTAACTTACCTTAAAAGAGTGAAGTTCATCAAGTTTGACCAAAGAAAAATAATTTTTGAAAAAATGTAACCTTAGATTATTTTGCCGTCATGGTTCTGAAAGCAATAGAAATATTCTAGGTCTTAAAAAGAAGAAAGAGGTTGGGTTTGACTGTTCTGTTCTGTTCTGAATAGGTGTACTTAAACCTGCCTTCGAAAGTGGCGACAAGAAGAAAGTCATAAACTGCAGATTTACATTAAATTTTTATATTTACATTAATTTTTGGATAAATAGAATTAAACAGAATGGTGTCCGAAAACAATTCTTAGCCTGAGATGCAATAGATTTAAATTTCGACACTGTTCTAATGAAAAAAAAAAAATAGAAAGAGAACAATGGATTTAGATGTAACATAAAAAAATATTTTAAAATAATTGGGCGGGGAGAATGGAAATGGTGCTAATCAAGAACGCTTAGTGTCCTTCAAGGAACTGTATTTAAGTCTCTCTTATTTACAATCTACCTGAATGACGTGTCGGCACTAGATATTTATGGTATACTATATGCAATGTACTGTAGCTAACTTTGCAGATGAAAATGCTTTTTTCGTTGTCGGGGAATCCAGAGGAAAGTAGTTCAAAATATTTTTGAAATATTCTTAGGCAGTGACTTAACACTAACTATAAATTTCAGTAAAACAATATTCGATTTTCTGTGTACCAGATTCGATTATTATATCTAGTTCTGGAAAATGTGGAAATTTAGAGAAAACACATATATTAGATCACCACCACATGCGGTGGGATATGCTTCTGATCTGGTTGGTTGAATGTTTAAATGAATGAATGAGATTCTAATACCAAACAATCGTCGAAAACTGTATTTTTCTTGAGTCAATTATCATCTAGGCTATGGATTGAAGAACTCATATCTGGAAATTTAAATGTTACAAATACCCTACATTTAGCCAAGTAACATGTATTCTGCAGCGCAAATCCTGGATCCTAACGCAACTATTGCTACAGCGGCTACCAACTAAAGCGTTTAAAGAAAAAAACATTACTTACAAAGAACGACAATGCATCATCTAGAATAATTCAAACAATATAAAAAACAAAAATAAAAACAA